CTCTCTCTCTCTCTCTCTCTTCTCTCTCTCTCTCTCTCTCTCTCTCTCTCTCTCTCTCTATCCCTCTCTACCTATCTATCTATCTATCCCCCTCTTTTCCGCTCAATCTCTCTCTCTCTCTCACTTCTGTCTGCAGCTGTATGCACACTGCCCTGGAGCTGTGTACGATAATATCACCGCCCCACCCATGGCTTCACACGCGCGTTGGCCAATACGTTGACGGTGCGTAGACAACCTGTAGAATGGCAGAGTCATGGCTTGCTGTGTGTGGGTAAATGTACTGTAGGGTAAGAAAGACACTGCTTGTTTGTGGCTAGACATGTTGTAGAATGGGGTCCGGGGGCAGTGGTTCACTGTCTGGGGAGCCACGTCAGAGGAAGGATGCGATACAGTAGCTTGCTTTTGAACGTGGACACGTTCTGGGAAAGGACAGCAATGGCTTGCCATCTGGATATATCTCGCTATACGAAAGATCCAGTGCTCCGGGTACAGGAAAGATTCAGTTGCAAGGGTTAACTCGCTGTATGGTAACACACACGATACACTAAATGTCCAGAATTCCAAGTCCAGGAAAAGTTCAGTTGCAAGGGCTAGCTCGCTGTATGGGTAGACACACACACACACACGATACACGAAAGATCCAGTGTTTCAGGTCTAGGAACAGTGCAGTTGCAGGGGTTAGCTCCCTGTATGGGTAGACACACATGACACACGAAAGATCAACGTGTGTTCCGGGTACAGGAAAGGTTCAGCTGCAGGGGTTAACTCGCTGTCTGAGGACACGCTGTAGGACAGTCTGCACCATCCATCCATTACCCAACCACTGCTCACTGCTTGGCCAGCTTGTAACGAGATCTTGGGCGATTGGCGAGTACAATCAATAAGCATGCATGCGCCTACCACTGCGACGATGGTTACAGACGGCCAGAGCAACGACAGCAGCCAGCGAATTTCCATCGGCAGACATACCAAGCGTCTAGCAGCGCGGGTCCGTGAGCAAGGGCGGAGCACACGAGAGCCTACTACCACTAACGGAATTTCTGCGATAAATGCGCGTACACCGCGTACGCAAAGCAAGCAGGCGTAACCCGCAGAAATGCCGCCCGTTAGCTCGACACTCTCAACTACTGGCAGCGGGGTCAAGTCCGCCAGCCTCACCACATTCACGCTACAACATACACACGCGCACGCACGCACGCACGCACGCACGCACGCACGCACACACACACACGCACACACACATATATATATATATATATATATATAACTTGATAACTTGATTCTGCTGCCAGTGCTTTCAACCTGCATTCGTAGTTGAATCGCCGTCAGAGAAGCAAGCAACCTCGTAACAAGCTCCACCCCAAAAATCTCGCTTATACACGCGCAGCTACGTGTATAGGTAGGTACACAGTATTCAAACTGAAAAGCTTTAAAAAGACGGCTAGTGTTATGGTCGGTATATATATAATATATATATATATATGATTGCTCACGTGCAGAAAGAAGAGGATTTTGCCAGTGTGCGTACATGTACGC